ATGTAATTATCTTGGTCATCTTATAAGTTATTGGGTTAAAGGATCATTATGTTACATCTTAAAAATAGTGGCTGGGATTTATATATTCCTTGCATATCTTAAGATTAATTTTCTATTAATATTATTTGGTTTAGATTTAAAATGAAATTAAAGTATATTGAGATAAGAATTGATGTAATTCATTTTCTAATAAAACCATCTCCAATAAAAAAAATACTTGTGTTTATTAAAAAAAAAGTGAGGTGAATTAGGTGTTTTTAAAATTTTTGTCAAAACCCTTTTCTAATGGCATGAAAGCTCTTCTTATAAATAGAAAAATTATGGGTTTTATTCTACTTGTAATATCTAATTATTATTGCTTACATATTTAATTAAAATTTTTTTACCATCTAAAACAATAAAAGAGTGGAAAAATGGAGCAATAAAATAAAAGAGCTTTAAAATAAGATGAATGAGAGTTTAAGAAAGAAGGACATAAAAAATTTGTAGGACTACTAATTGAGCCTAGTCACTTAGCTTATGTTTAGTCCTCAAATAAATCCAGTTAAATGCAAGAAACATAAATCTATACATTTTTTTTCTTTACAACTAAACGTGTTTAAATTGAAGGGTCAATGTGATCTTTTCACATTTATGACAAATTATAATTAGATCTAAAAAAATTAATTATATTTTTTCAAATTCGCCCAACTTATATTATAATTATATTTTTTTTATATTTTATTCTTTTGGTTCTAAATATAAGACATTTTATAGTGTACAAAATAGATTTTATATTTAGGACCAGAGAGAGTAGTTGTGACTTATAAATTTCCTTTTAAAATTATTGAAACGTTATTATCAAACATGAAAATGAATGAAAAATTTTATATTAAATTTTGGTTCTATAAATATAAAAATTTGGTCCAACTAAAACTTATATTGATCCTCATTGTTCATGCCTTAGGAACTATATATATAGCATGCTAATTGCTAAATGATGTGTGTGATTCATGTATTACATTTATCTACACACACATACACGTAGAATAACAATTTATATAAAATATAAAAATTATAACGAGTTATACTATTCATTAATTATAAATAAATAGTGTTGTTCATTTAACAAATCCCAGTCAAATATATTTTATGCTAAAGAAGTAAAAATATGATCGTAGTACCAATAGCAAACACAGAAATCTTAATTTGATATATGATGGAAGAGCTTAAAACAAAATTTAAAAGATCAAATTAGAAAAAAAATAATTTTCTTAAAAATATTTTTATTCTTCTATTTACAAGGCACCTTTAACATATTTCACCAAAACCAAGAGAAACATTAAATTTTATTAATTTGGTTAACTTTTTAACTTTACTCTCATTCAATTTATCCAATCATAAATAAAACATAAAATTGTGTATTTATATAAAAAATTAATAATTTATATATTGTTTCATTCTTTGTACCTTGTAAAGGAAATCAGAAGAGAAGCAGTTAAAAAGAAGAAATAATTGTAAATTTGCAATGTGAAAAAGTGGTGGCGCGTGGAGAATGAGTGAGCGTGGGAGTCGTGCGGCGTAAAAACGAGAGCCAAAGAAGGTAATCACACATGGGAAATGCCCCCACAATTCCACTAACCGAAAACACCTCACATGCCCTCTCTCCCATCTCTTTCTTTCCTACCCGCCAAGCAAACATTGCATTAGCCCCTGACACGTCAACATTTTCTGTACACGTCACCCCCTCAAGTGGGCCCCCTCAACCCCCAAACGCGATGCCGTTTCCGGGTTAGACTCCACTCTTTTTTTTTTTTTTTTCCTTTGCTGCACATAGATATGAAACAATTTTATTCAAAGTACTAACAGACACTAAATATAAACATTCTTTCATTAGAGACCTGAACTTTTGAGTCTTATTGTGAGAAACTAGCTCATTCCATTAAACCTAATACTTGCTCAGGTCTCTATGTGGGCCCGCCAAATTCTATCCGGATCTTCTAAATTGCGGGCTGGGGCCCAACAACGATGTTTTCTTTCCACTCCTAGGGAGCAAATTCTTGTGCTTTTAATATAAGGTCACAATTGAAGTCATGTGAAAAAAAGTATAGAAAACGATAAAAATGCAAATATAACATCACAAACTTTTTTTTAGTCTAAGTAAAAATAAAATTTTTTAAGATAGCCTAAAAATGTCATGGCTATTAAGTCAATCAATGTTGAGCGTTTAGTAGAAATGTAGACCAAGAAAATAATGTAAAAATATATATGAAATTTTCAAAATGATGCAAGAATATTATAACCATTGAAAAATTCATATATATATTTGGTTATTTTTGTATCATTTTGAAAACTACATATGATTTTTGTATTATTTTGAAAATTTTATATATATTTTTGTACCATTTTCTTAGTTGATAACTTGATATGTTTGTTAAAATGATCAATATTAGTTAACTTAACTGTTATGAAATTTTTAAACCATTTTAAAAATTTTATGTGTACTTTTATATTAAAAAAAAGTTTACAATGTTTGCTGCTTCTAGCAAAATATTTGATGATGATATTTGCATCTTAAGAAAATAACTGAGTCCCTTATAAGGGACTCTGGCCAAAAAAAAAATCCTTATAAGGGACTCAAATATCGTTTTTCTTTGTTGAAATAATTTGGTTTTTTTTTTTTTTTTTCCGGAAGAGTGGTTTTAAAGAGATAACCGAGTCTTTAGAAATATAAAAATGAATTTCACCATTTTTTCATCTTCAATTGAGAGAATTTATATAACATGAACATGCATTTGATCTGAACGTAAGATATTTGGTTACTTAAAAGAGTTCGAAGCCTAAATTCTCATGTACCCTTCATTCACTCATATCACCTCTTAAAATTATCCATTGATTAACCATCACATAAATAAATAGAGTGCTGTAAATCACATTTCATTATCTATGAACATATCATATGTAAGATATTTTATTATGTTAAGACATAAATTTGTTATGAAATTTTTTACTTAAGAGTGCTATATACCCGCAAGTTGTTTTGAGGTTCAATGTTGATTTAGAAGTTTAAAGACATTGTAATTTTGTCGTTTACTGTTAAAAAAAACTAACATTAATTGTTAGAATATTGACATTGGCAATTAATATTTTTAACATTCCGACGCTTTTATATTTTTGGGACACTATTGAACCCAAACAAACGGTCGGGTTGCTTAACACTATTAAGTGAAAATTTTTATGATAAATTTGTACTTTAATTCTATTCTATTTAAGTTAAAAATTTAAAACTTGAGTTCTTTTAAAAATGGTTTAAATTATTTATTTACTTTTTGACAAAAAAAAAAAGCTGGAAAAGTTTCTCATTTACAAGTTCAAAACTTTGACATCTTTGGTTAAATTTTACCTACAATAAGATGCATTCTTGGTTCTGCAATGATATTTGATTAGCACAATAAAATAATCTAACACAATCATCATTACAACATATTACAATAAACCACTTCATTTATACTACTTCCGGTTCTAAATATAAGAGTTAGTTGACTAATTTGAGTAGATGAAGAAAATAAGTTAAATTAGTTATTTGTAATAAATAAGTGTTGTCTTTCTTAAAATATCCTTACTAATCAAATTTATTAGTTAGAACTACCATTATTAGCAGGACTATCTTGAGAAAAAATAGATAAATATGAGAGACAAAGTGAATTGATGTCTTATATTTAGGACCAAAAAAAAGTTAAACGAGATCTTATATTAAGGATGGGATAATATTACATAATAAAGTTATGTAATTTGAATTCAGACTTGCATGAATCAATGTATATGCATTTATATAATCTATGAATCAGCATTTAAACAATTACCTTCCATTTTCATCTTTGATATCAGTTCACAATTATTTTCATTGTTTAGATAAAACATAAATTTTCATTTCATGATTCCTTGATGATGGTAAACCAAACAAATGTTTAATAATCATAACTCTATTACATTACGTTTCTTGACACATACAATTTCTGGTTCTTATTATAAGATCCCTTTTATAAGAATTTTTTTTATCCTTAATACAAGTCATTTGAACAATTCCTTAATCCTTCTTTATCAATTTTGCTCATACAACTACTATTTAAATATATCTTTTTGTTTCTCCCTCTCTTTTTTACACAGTCTCATTAATAAGAGGTAAAGTTAAAATTTTTTATTCATTTAAGACAGACTTAGTGGGTTACTTCTTGTCCTTAGTGTGAATTAGTTGAAAGTTTTCTCTTTATAACAAGTGGAGTATTTCATTGTGTTGACTGTGATTTTACTCTGGCGAAAAATAAAAGGCTGATTTTTTGAACCAAACGGTACTCTTCTTCTTGGATTGAAGTAAGGGATGGTACAAAGAATATATTCAGTTACTCACTAACTAACACGGATCAACCCGCATCTTCCTGTTCAGCTAGTAATCTACTTTGGAAAAAGGAATTGAAACAGTAAATATTTCAATTTCAATTCACGTATTTATATGATTGAAGACACTATCAAACCACAATTGAAATCTATGACTCTTCCATTTCAAAAGTTGATCTCCACATCGAAATCCACTTCCCCTCTCACTCCCTTACCAAACTCCACGCGCCGCCCTCCTCTCCTCCATCGCTGCCGTCACCGTCACATCTCTCTCCTTCTTCTCTTTTTATCCCTGCTCCTCCTCCTCCTCTTCTTCTTCTTCTTTGTGTCTACGTAGTTTCTTTTTTCCATCGAAGAAGAGGGTGAGGATTGAGGGGTATTCTGTCTATGTGTCTCTAGAAGAAGATATGGGCGGAGTTACTTCGTCAATTGCCGCCAAGTTCGCCTTCTTTCCGCCTAACCCTCCTTCTTACACCGTGATCGCTGACAGTGAAGTTGACGGTCGATTATCTATTCCTGAGGTTCCCAGGAAGGACAACGTTGACGTGCTTAAGCTTCGAACTCGTCGAGGCAATGAAATCGTGGCTGTTTATGTCAAGCATCGCAAGCCGACTGGTACTATGCTTTACTCGCATGGGAATGCCGCTGATTTGGGTCAGATGTTCGAGCTCTTTGTCGAATTGAGCAATAGGCTTCGTCTTAATGTGATGGGGTACTTCTCTTTGATGTTGAGTTTTAAGCTCGCTTTCTCTGTCTCAATATCTGACTACCTGTTAGTTTTTTCTCTAGATTGGAAGAACTAGGATAATATTTCTTGGGTGATTCGTGGATAGATGCTTCTGAAAAAACGAAGTAGCTTGATTGCTTCGTGTTGAAATTTCTCTCTTTAATGATGTCTTGAATATCATACTGTGCTCGAACGGCCTTGGAAAAGCGTACATCCCGTAATTACGCTTGGATTTATCGGTTTCTCCACTTTATTTTTTGGATGACGGGTTCCTCCAGCTTGTAACGGAAGTATTATGTGGCTTGAGTTCGAAATAACGTGTTTGATTTCTCTGCTAATGAAAGAAGTAGGATGAAGGTTTCTAGGATCCTCAGATAAATAATAAACTGGGGCAATATTGTGAAAGATTGAAGTATTTACTGTCTCCGTGTTGCTGGTACAGATAATTACAGAAGCTATGAACTGTGTGAAAGTCAAGGATTACCTCGTCTACTTGAACTTGGGTCTGACATTGGAAGTTCAGTTGCCTTCTTATGAACAGATCGTGGAATCTTACTTGCTAGGAGCGTTGGGCTGCTTCTGTTTAGATAGTGTAACTGTTGGTATTGGTAGATCATTTTGGTTTCCCTTCGCATGAAGTTTGGGCTGTTGGATTAAATGAATATGCAAGGAAAGAGTCCAGCTGGTGCTTCTTTGATTTGCTTATATTTTGCTATGTTATTAACTTCTTGTTTAGATATTTTTTGCTGTTAAGGTTAGTAGTTGATGGGTTTATAGGTGCTCTCATTACATGAAATTAACTAGTTGAACATCCTATATTGTTATATGGTATGGAAGATCGAGGTTGTTCATTAATTGTCAAGTGTATATGTCATTATATTTCTATTATGTTTCACTAAATCTGAAAACAAAGAAATGGATAAATTTGTAAAGGAGATGGGACAAATTTGGGCTATGGTTACTAGAGGAGAGACGAAGTTGACAAAAATGACCATTTTAGTGGCGTGCTATTTTAGCAATATCATGGATAGTTTTGTGTGTGTTTTCATGTTTTAATAGAACATCCTTGCAAGCATTTCTAGTATCAATTTGGTTTATGGGATTTAATTTTTTTAGCCCCATAAACCGACAGGTCAGATTTAAGCAATTGCTTTCAACGGCATTTTAAAGAAGTTCTTTTGAATGGCCAAACCAATCTGCTGAAGAGATGGCTTTTTAGGACTAATTTGATGTGTCAAGCAAAATTTTCCCTTGACAGGCTACTTTGTCATATTAAAATAATCAGTGCATGCCCTTGAAAGCCTGGTTAATTTAGAGCCAATAACAAATTGATATACAATATGTCATTAAGGATAAGTTTGTGCTTTGTTTGTTTCAACAGAACCCCTTTTTCCTAATCGTTGATCTTGATGGAATCCCCTTTTTTCGTGTAGACTGTATATGTATGTTGAAGTGGCCATTTGAATTTAGTACTTGAACAAGTAAGAAGATTACTCTTGGGGGTATACTTCAATTCAACCACACACGTTTTCTTTTCTGATGTGACAAATTCAGTGGTCTATCTTGCATGTTAACAGAAAAAAGTGGTTCTGTTTCAAGGCAGGACTGTGAACAGATGGATTATTTTAACGAAAACAATAAAATTTTAACCTCAAAAATATCTTTCTATGTTGAAAATGCATAATCTGTGACAATTTATCATTGTATGCAATGCATGATAATAATTACTGCTGTGATCCTCTACATCAAACCATTTAACTATGCTTAAACTTGTATATCAAACCTCAGAAAATGATAGGAAAAATTTATGGGTTACTACTTCGTATCCCAACTGAGCATGCAACTTCACATGCAGTCATGATTAATAAGTGATTCTGGGTGCCCTAGATACTGCAGGCGCTAAGCCTTCAGGGGTATTATTTACTAATCTTTTATTGGATGACAGTAGTAATTTACTTACCAAGTACCCAAAGCCCCCTCCCTTTCCCTCCTGCGTTTATCCAAACAGGGCCTGAATGCATGTATCATGAGTATATCGACTTTGATCTGTATATTTGTGACATTGCATACTCTTGTCTGTGATATCAATTGTAGGGAGCAACTTTAAAGCTTGCAAATTTTATTCTTGTTTTGCTCATTTTCCATCCTCTTTAAGTCATTTTATTTAGATTTGGAGGACCTAGTTTAATGCTCCAAAATATGTATTTGTCTACAATTTCTTTAAATAATAACATTGGGAAGCTTAAATTAGACTAACCTCTTAAAGTTTTGCTGGATTTCTCATGATACCCCTTTTGCTTTAAAAACTAGAATAAACTTCCAAGTCATGTTTTGTCAGTAAAGTTAACTCTCTGTACAATATACATTTTTGCCAAAAATAAAATTACTCGAATGTTTTTACTATCATATTAAGGATAAAATCATAGTCCCCTGTTAGAGCTTAACAGCAATTTTTCTGTCTTTATGATCATATTAAAAATAAAATCACAGTCCCGTTATGCAAAAAGTAAACATTTCTCAACAAAAAATACATTGGAGGGCAGTTTTCTGCAAAATATGACAAAATGTCAGGAGTACCAAAGGTAACTTGTCTAACAAAAGGGGCATTAAGGGTAACCAAACTTCAGAGGTTGGTTAATTTACTTGGTTGGAAAAGATGTTCTCATGTGGCATCCTTGTATTTTAAATGAGAAATACATTTGGCGATTTATTTTCAAAGGCCATTTTTTAGATGTATCATATATTCTGAAGCACCATATAATCACTAGTGCCAATTTTTCCTTCCCTTTAGAGTATTTACTATTCTTCCTATTGCTATTTCTGCAGTTACGATTACTCTGGCTATGGACAGTCAACAGGAAAGGTAGGTTCCATTCGGTGCCTTTAAAATATACTCCGTATATTAGATCTTTAGACAGAATTATTATCAGTGTTCTTCATGACTATTTAATTTACTTTGTTTGAAATTAAACTCTTTTTGCATGTTCTCTCATAAGCCGATTTGTTATGAGTTATAACAGTTTTCTATTCATCCTTTGTTTTTTACATTATTATTTTATCATTTTCTTCCTCATTGTGTCTTCCTTTGATTGGTAAATCCATAACGAAAGCCAAGATGTTAATAATTTAGCAGTTAGGATTCTTATTGGGATCTTAAGATTCTAGTAATTGTGGATTTGATTCGATTAATTTTCACATTAAATATGGTTTCCTCTCCCCACTAGGGCTATTCCAGTAATAAGTTTGTATCTATTGAGCTGAAAAAAGAGTATCATCTATGGTTGCTATTATTTAGAGATTATATACTAAAATTTCAATCTTTGGAGATTAATTGTCTTTGGCGGTAATATATATGATTCGTTTTCTTGTTTGTCTCTTGTTCCTATTCCCCTGTATTTCTATCTTCATAATGTGTCTTCACTACTCACAGCCCAGTCTGCTGAAGGCTTATTGTTTCTACCAACTTGAGATTCCCTATTTTCTCAATTATTAAGTCATCATCGTGCAATCTTTGGTTTTGCCGAAATGCGGAAACCTAGAAATTTGGCTTGGAAGTTTTTTAAAACCTTAAAAGTGCCTCTGGGGCTAACTGGCCAAGGAAAGCCTGACAGTATAAATAGCCATTTACGTATTGTTGACCTGCCTTGGATTGATTCTTTACTCTTAATTTTAAGCTGTGGACAATACCACCACATCCTTGCATTCGGTCAAGAAAGTCATTTGCAGAATGATTCTTTTGCAAAATACATTGTTTAATGTCTATTTGGTATGTTAAGCATTATGTCAGAGCTGTCAGTAACCAAACAAGTGTTGCTGACATTTGCTTTTATACTTTTGTCTTAAAATGAAAGGGACAAAATGCATACTTATGTGCTTTAACCCCCTTTATATGATGAGCCTTCATAATTTGAGGGTCATCTCATTTGTGGATATTATCTTAGTAATCACGAAAACTTTTTTGGCATCTGCAGTGGCTAAGCTGCTTTAATAGAAACTTCTTTTTCTTCACCATTGACATTTCTTTGGGTTCATAATTAACTCCTTTGGTGGGGGAACAATCTGTGGAAGCTGGATGATAGATCTTTGGTTCTACCCGGTTGTTGCTTTACCATATCTTGATTAAAGGAATATTGTACTGTCTGACTATTGTATTTTCTGTTTATTTTGCAACGACAACAAGAAGCTTGTTTACATTCTTACCTGTAAGTTAACAGCTATCCTTTCTGTTGAAACAGCCGACTGAATATAATACATACGCAGATATTGATGCTGCTTATAAATGCTTAAAAGAGAAATATGGTGTGAAAGATGAACAGTTGATATTGTATGGTCAATCTGTTGGGAGTGGTCCCACAGTTGATCTTGCTTCACGGTTACCCGGGCTGAGGGGTGTTGTCTTGCACAGTCCAATTTTGTCTGGGCTGAGGGTACTGTATCCTGTAAAACGAACGTACTGGTTCGATATTTACAAGGTAGACTATTCACGTTGAATATGTTCCAGTCTGTTTTATTCCTAAGATGGGGACTCATGCAATTTGTTTTTCCATTCAGAATATTGACAAAATTGGCATGGTGAACTGTCCTGTTTTGGTTATACATGTAAGTAGCCCTCTCATCCTTTTGCGTGGCAAATAAGTTTTGGTGTTTCTTCTAGATCAACGATTTTTACGTAGCAGTTATCCTTTCCGTTGTCAACTAATTGAAACACTAGATTCCATGCCTTATTAATGTTTAAAGGAAGTTCTGAACTACAGTCATAGCAGAGCATGCTTAATTGTCCATCGGGTTAGGATGCTGTCCTGAATTTGTTCTTCCAATAATACCATTTGCTGGCTTCTTCCCCATATTCTTTTCTCTTCATTTTCCGTGCATATCCTTTTTCTCTCGAGGCTTTGTTATAATTATAAACTAGTGAAGATAACAGTCTTTTGTTTTTATGTTCAGGGGACAACAGATGAAGTTGTGGATTGTTCCCATGGGAAGCAGCTTTGGGAGCTTTGCAAGGAAAAGTATGAACCCTTATGGGTAAGTGGTGGGGGACATTGTAATCTAGAGCTTTACCCGGAATTCATTAAACATCTAAAGAAATTTGTACAGACAATAAGCAATTCTAAATCAGCCGCAAATGGTTCTCAGAAAGATACAGCAGAAAAAACTGAGAATCAAAGCAAAGCTGCCAAAGATTCTGAAGGTGGAACTTCAGACACAATTGAACTGGCAGTTGATCTTCCAGAAGCTTCTCGAAACAGTTTAGATAGCAGTCTTGAGAAGTCTAAAATATCAAACAAACCAGAAAAATCTCGAATGAGCACTGACCATGTTGATAGGTTTAGGAGGAAAAAAGGCCTAATTTGGTAGTTTCTTATACAAACCATATCCAGAATAAATTATCTACAAGTAATACTTGGCAGGTATTCTAATTCCCCCGTCCTCGAGGAATCATATACCAATTCTAAATGAATATATCGAGTGAGATTTCAATGTTATTTTTCTCCTGCTTTAGGTCCATAATCCTGCTGTATGTATGTTAAATGATTGAGTAATGTGTATCTGTATGTTCTGTAATACCAACGGCTTGATCTAAATGCAATTATCAAGTTCAATTTGTTCTGTAAATTTTAAAATTGTCTCATGTATATTTTCTGGAGGATTGAGTATAAAGAAATAGGTACCCCCGTTAGGTTCTGCGGAGGGGACATAAGAAATCATCTGCTATTCAATTTGACTTGCTAATGTATTGATGAAATCCTTGGTTGATATTAATCTTTCTTACCTAGTGTGCTCCGAAATGTGAGCAATATTATATCTTTTACCGAAGTTTGTTTTCTTATTGAATTAGATATGGGGTTTAATACATCACATGGATTTTAGAGCAAATCATACTATTCAAGGTTTATAGATGGTTTATGTTGGCTATTTATCTTCCATTAGCTTCTATAACCAGTTTAGACAGCTGCCTTGGGAAGTCTTAATAAGACAAACCAGAAAATCTCAAATGAGCACTGACCATGATGTTGGTACTTTTAGGGTAAAAGAAGGCTTCATTTGGTGGTCTCATGTACAAACCTTGTCATAATTTACTTTGTTGTTTACCACGCATTCAATCTACAATCTATCATTTTTTTTCTCTTTGTAAACATACTGGCTTTTTTCATTCCATGAGGTTTGACAATTAAAAATGTTATAAAGCTTGCCCAATGGAATATTAGAAGCTAAATTTTTGTTTTATGTATGCAAAGTACTTGAATTAATATGCTTGTTAATGGTTTCCGGATTTCTGGCAAAGACGCTGATCTGTTAGCCTAGTAGAGGAAGTATTCAAGATCGGACCACTTCATAAAATGACCGAGGCAGTAATTCAAGGGTTCAGTTGAAATTGGGATTAGCCCAATATTAGACTGGTCATTGTTAAAATAATATTTAAATAAAAATGATCAATTCATAAGTGTATGGAACATTCATGTGTAAATTACACATAATCCAACAAAACAGGGTTATTAAAACATAAATTTGACGGATTACTTCTGTTTTTTTAAACTCAAAATGATGTCATTTCAAGCCTAAAGAGGTTTTTAAAAAAATAAATAAATCTAACCAAGTCAACTTGTTCAAAAGTCTTAATCAAATCAACCAGGGGACTGCTTCACCAGTTCGATTGGTCAGCCTGAATTAAGTTTTATTACCTTGATGGTAGAGTTTCTTAAATCATATTTTAGTGTTGTTAGACTCTTATCATGAGATCCTACTAAACTACCTTCAGTCTTTAATACATGAACTATATAACTAATTTGCATATACTAAGTAAATTAGTGAAGTTAGTTAATTATATGCATTAAAACTACTTTTTAATGAAAACTTTTTAACATGTGCAATCAACGTATGAATTACTTGAAAAAAATAAATAAATATTAAAGAGAAAATAGAATGAGATCTTATGCCAACACAAGAAGTTGTAGTTTGGGTGTAATGAAAGTTACTCCATTTTGGGAGGGAAAAATACTCTCCTGCCGAGAGTTATTCCCAGTCTCTGTGTTTTCTGAATTTACTTGGTTGCTTGATATTTTTCACTGAGAGGTCCATTGTTTTCAGTTTCACCCTTGACTTACAAAGCGGACTACTCATCCATATTATAGTGTGAAAGATAATAGATGCGCTGATATTAACTATTCAATACTACTTCTGGTCCTAATTATAAGAGTTAGTTGACTAATTTAAAAATATTAAGAAAATAAGTTAAATTAATTATTTGTAATAAATATGTATTGTCTTTCTTAAAATATCCTTGCTAATCAGGTGTATTAGCTATAACTACCATTATGAGAAGGACTACCTTGGAAAAAAATGTACAAATATAAGAAACAAAATAGATTTTTAGGATCAAAATAAAAGTCAAACGAAGTCTTATACTACCTCCGGTCCTTAATATAAGACCCCGTTTGACTTTTTGTTTGGTCCTAATTATAAGACCCCAATCCATTTTTTCTCTCATATTTATGTATTTTTTTCCCAAGATAGTCCTTCTAATAATGATAGTTCTAACCAATACACTTAATTAGCAAGGATATTTTAGGAATGACAGCACTTATTTATTACAAATAACTAACTTAACTTACTTCCTTAATCTCCTCAAATAAATCAGTTGGGTCTTATAATTAGGACCGGAGATAGTATTAAGGAGCGGAAGTAGTATAATAGAACTAGAATGTGTCCCTGCGAACACACACACATATATATGAAATTTGTGCATTGTTTTATTGTAATGTCAGTTTCACATATGTGAGCATAAACTAAGATTCTTTAGGATACGAAAATAATATTGTACGAATACTCAAGCATAAATGCGTGGAAAAAACAACCATTCCAATGCTCTTTCGTGTGTTATCGATCAACTTTTATTTCAAAGAAAAATTAATTTTTGAGCCCTTATAATTTTGATTTGGTTATAACTTGATTCTTAAATTTTAACTCGATTATAAATTAACGCTTGAACTTTGACTCGATATAATTTAATCTGTATAGTTTTGACCATTTAGAACTTTATTCCCTAATTAACTTTCACAAAGTATATAATTTAAATTTTTTTTAAATATAGGGACTAAAGTTTGAACTGGTTAAAACTATATGGGTTGAATTACATCAAGTTAAAGTTTAGAAATTGAGTTGCAACCAAATTAAAATAAAAGGAATTGAGTTATACTGATTTAAAATTTAAAAATTGAGTTATAAATGAGTAAAAAATATAGCGATTAAAAGATTAATATTCTGGTGTTATTTGGCAATAACAGTAACATCATTATTTGTCCCCCTCCCACAAGTGCAGTTTCTTCCTTTTTGTTAATTGATTCAAACAAAACACAGTAATATACCAATATCACCTAACAATTGTTGTCTTTTCTCTTGTGTTTCAGCTGATTTTTCGCCATATATATACAACCCTTTCTTTATTATGATCAACTTGGCAAACTATATAATAGAAAGCAACTTTTAGAGACTACAAACAACTGCATTATAACTGTAAACCACCAAAAGAGTGAAGAAAAATTGTTTTGGGTTACCAGCAACATGAGCACCATATCAACATTCCATATCGTTGGGCATTATAATCACCATTACTGCTGCACGTTCAAATTGGGAGTCATAGCAAGTCTAAGCTTTAATGGAGTTGTTCGTATTTTAGTCTCACAAACAATTGAATATATATTTATATGAATTATCGAAGATATTTCCTCCCGTCCACCAGAACTAAAGACAGACGGTTGACTCATTAACTTTGTAAGAAATTAAAACATCGTTCTAATTTTGCCTATATTTAAGAATATTGAGCAATATTATATTAAACTTCAAGTCTTCTCCGAGTAAACTGTAAAAGGGATAATATTTGAAAAAAAATTCATTAATGACCCACCACGTGACTTATATTGGTATCTCGGATCCTAAATATAAGATCTATCTTATAGTGTTTAGGACAGGAGGTAGTAGGTACCAAGAATTTTTTTCCCCTCCAGAAGACACCCCATATTTAGGACCAAAGGGAGTATACCATGCCTGGGAAAGTGCAAATGAGGTTGTATGTTTAAAAAAGGCAAGCCAGTCTCAAACACTCTCAAGGAACACATTAGCATTGAAATAGTACTCCTGCTAAAGTACTGCTTTTGGTCTTTAACATAAAAATTAGTTGACTAATTGAGGAGATTAAAAAAACTTGTTAAGTTAGTTATTTGTAATAACTCTTTAATAATGTTTTTGGTAATATATGTTCCTCTTCTCTGCCAAACAAGAACAAATTAACTTGATTAGCTTTGTATGAAGAAACTTATGATTTAGACACGATTTAAATACTAGAATATAAACAAACACATCGTTCTAGCAAACACTAAAGGATTAAGATTTTAAGCATATCAAGGGCCGACTGGGAACTCTATCTTTCGAGTTGCTGGACAAAGAAATTCAGTCTGAACAAAATTTTAAAAACTAGAGTCACAAGAAGAAGAAGAAGAAGAACCTGGTAGGAGGAATTTTGAAGATAACTATGCTGGCCAAGTCCACCATTCATTGGGAGTGCCTCATAAGATTGGGAGCCATTTTGGTTTTCCATAGTTTTGTGATAATTTAGTGATTGTTTGTTATTCCGGCGAGTCTGTATGTTCTCCGAACTGACTTCATTGAGACTGGCCCATCTTATTAGAAAGCAGACTCCTTTTAATTGGAACCATCAGCAATAGAACATTGTTTCATTAATTTTATAATCATTATTCGCTGCCATTTCTGAGTCCATCTTAAGCACTCCCATTTCATGCACCAATAAGTGATCAGTTATATGGGAAAGGTAATGCTACTACTAGTCAATGAACTACTAAAGATGGATTCATATAATGTTTTCAGGATTCTGGTTTTAATTTGGGTAGTTCATATCTCTTCCTTACAAACAGCAGCTTTTGATTTAGAAATAATCAATACACACAAAACAAAGAGCATTGGACAATGACAAAGTTATCTGGGAATAGGAAGTAGCACATCTTCTTGGTAAACCATCCATATTCTTTGTTATTGCAAAGTGATTGCTTGTCACAATCATGGATTCCTCTAGTTCTATTTATAAGACAAAGAGACAAGGTTTTTTTTTTTTTGGTGTTACTTATTAGTCATTTTATTAAATTCTTAGCATAAATGTACTATTTTGTTTTTTATTTATTATAGTGTACATAGTTATTTTCTTGAGATATGTATATATTAAATATGAGTAAAATTGAAAAGTTACTATACCTTAGTTTAAAGTTTTTTTAGTTTGAATGAAACATGTTAAAAATGTTATGTAAATAAGACTAGAAGAGTATTGAATTTTTAAATCATTCTTATTTCTAACTCAAGACAATGCGGCATATAATGATTGCCCATGTCTAAACATCTTGTAATGAATATGGCTCTTAACTTTTTTTTTTTTGGATAAGGCCCTTAACTCTTGTTAACAGTTAGAGAAGATTGCAATCCTTGCAGTTTAAAAGGTAATGATATTATTTCTGAGTTCACATCCTCTCTACGAATTATATTTATCTCTTCCTGCAAAAATATGAACCCTTGTACCCTTATGAGAGTGGTGGCGGGACAATATAATGTAATCTAGAGCTTTACCCAGAATTCATTGAACATCTTAAGAAATTTGTACGGACAATTAGCAATTCTGAAGTCACTGCAATTAAGGTTCATGCATGGACTTAAAAAAAAAAAAACTTGATGACCATACAAGGGTTCAGAATGAAATCCTTGACAGATTTTTCACCTCGTTTGCGTGTTCCATTTGCCCTCTGTCTTTGACCGGGTCCTTGAAAGCCACCTAGGACGTAACCAAGTGAAACTTCTATTCAACCATATATTTTTACTTCTTTTGAATTCGAAGATCCAAAATCATTATGTGCATGATGCAATATATATGCTAAAGGTTAAAGTATACATTTAGTCCTTTAATTTTATAGAGAATTTCAATTTAGTTCCTTAACTTTGAAAAGTATACTTTTAATTCTTTAATCATAAAATTGTTAATAAAAATAATGATATTAAGATTTTAAATATTAATAAAATATTCTCAAATGTTAACATATTAAGTTTAATTTTCAAAACAATAATGATTGTTATAAAAAATTATCATTTAATCCTAACGATTTTAGAGCTAAAGAACCAAATGTATGCTTTTCAAAGTTAAGGAATCAAATTAAAACCCTGTATAAAATTAAAGGACCAAATATATACTTTAGTCTATCCTAAAACATGCTTCTTTCATCCATCCAAATTGGTTACTAGGCACAAATTACAAGGAACTATCCATGGCCTCATGCTAGATGAAAAAGACAAAATTCTAATTCATTAGCTCATTCAGTGCATCTTCATCATCTAGTTCTTAATATAAAAGTTAAATAACTAAATTGATGAGATTAAGAAAATTAGTTAAAAATATATTATTTGTAACAAAATGTATGCCGACTTTCCTAAACCACATTCTTTAATCATGCATATTGAAAATGTCCTTGGGTGGAAACCTTTGCAATAAATAGGGATATGTTGGAGAAAAATTATAAGTTTAAAAGACAACAAGGATGGAGGTTTTATATTCAGAAGTAAATCCACCCTTTCATCTAGCTTTTATATTAAGGAGCGGAACTAATATATCCTTTTCAGGCTTCATAGTTTAATCCCACCATGAAACCACTCCTTAATCCATTCTCCATGCTCTTTCTTTTGGTTCCTTTGTAGATATCTGTCGGATGATGATCGGTATACAGACTGTTCAAGTAGGTCTTTTAGATGCGGAAGCATACAAAAACTCACTTATCCCTTTTGGGGAGGAGAAAGAGCAAATCATTGTGGTCCTCCTGATTTCCAGCTCACTTACGAAGCCAATATCCCAATATTACAATACCGTCCCTCAAATATCAGCTTCTTCAATTGGACTGGACTTTACAGACTCTTATAGCGGCTAGGGATGATCATTTTGACACTATTTGTACTACTGATTGCAAAAACAACATATTTGATCAAATCAAACGGGCTCAAGGCTGTGCCTCTTTCCAATGCTCTTTGATGCCTCAGCGTGGATTGTATTTTAAGTTATTGCAGAAGTGTCACTATGCTAATATAAGAAGCAAACCTTGGCCAAACTGCAGCTGCTATAATGGATGTGATATAAACTCTCAATCAAAACCTAGTCCATTGCTTCTAATAAGAAAAGAAATAAAGATAATAACCAGAGAAGCACTCTATAAAACCTGGATTAATAAAGAGGATAAACAAATAAATGAATGGCCTAAGAATTTTGGACATGGCCAAGTATATGATAAGTAAAACCTTTGAATCTTATGCAGCAGTGAGAGTTTGACTTTCGTTGGTTAGGAAATTGACCTCAAAGGAAGTGATAAACCATTAAAAATTTTCCAAGGTCAAATTTCCATTCCCTCCCTTGCCATCATAAATCCTTCCTTATAGTTGAATATGTCACTTACTTTCACCCAAACGGAAATTCTTCTCTCTCTCTCTGCCGTTCATTTCTTGGTCAATGTCTTCCTTCTTCACGCCCCGGTTTCTTCTTTCATGCGTAACACTTGCGTTATTCCTCCAGACTCCTTCTTATGCGGTCACCGACGATTATTTTGCAGCTTGCAGTACTCTGTACAATTGCGGGAAGATTAAAAACGTCGGGTTTCCTTTCTGGGGACAAGGCCGTCGAGAAAGTTGTGGCTATCCTGATTTGTATCTCAATTGTTCTGACGGTTTGACCTTCATAACAATCCAAAACGTCACATACTTGGTATTGGATGCCAAACCAGAACAACAAATTCTGAGTATCGTTAGATTCGACTTGAAGCAAAGCTTATGCCCAAATCAGCTTCTCAATGCAAGCCTTGACCTTCAGTTGTTTGAGAACGTGCCGGAAACAAAAAATTTTACCCTTTTATATGGTTGTCCGTCAATCCCTTCACTAAACCCCCTACTATTTTATTGTCCCAAAGATGGGTTCCATAATCCATTCGCCTATCTACTGTCGGATAATATTCCTGAAATTTCTGCGTTATGCTCTACAAGCGTGGTTGTTCCTGTTAAAACTCCTACGTCATTGGTTGATCTTCAGGTTTTAGGCATAGTGCAAAAGTGGCTTAGTGATGGGTTTGAAATAAGATGGATAGCTGGAATTGTAGATTGTGATAAGTGTCAGATAAGAGGGGGAGTCTGTGGCTATGATTGGGATTCAAATAAGATTACCTGCTATTACATATTAGGCAACTCAGCGCCGCAGCCTCAGTGGACGCCTCAGCCTCAGGGGACTTCAGGTACGTCTATAACATGATGCCAACTGCTTTTTTTTTTTGGGTAACTGATGAATCTTTCCCTTTTCCTATATGTTATATTTGACTTTTTATTAAATCCATGAATAATTGCAAATAAATCTTTCATTTCTGATATGTTATTATCTATAAGTAGTAGTATCTTCTTTTTTTCTCCTCTTTATAACAAGGCAAAATGTTATAACGAAAGTAAAATGAGAGTTCTACAAAGTAGGAAAAGAAACAAGACAATCAGTAAGCCAAAAAAAGAGGGAATTGCTTAAAGTTCAGTTTTGTTTCTCACATGGCTGATACTAACTAGCTGCAGGGTCTTTCTGTCTTCGCTTTCTTTTGAATTGTGGACTCAGTTTTCAGTCAAAAAAAAAAAAAAAAAGAATTGCAGACTCAGTTTTGGTATATTTTAATGAATTAAGGTGTAAATATTTCCCAAAACTTTTCACTCACAAGCTTTGGGTGCCCAGAAGCTTTTTTAGACACAAATTTGTTTGGGAAATTTAAAATCATAGTAATGTTATCCCTTACTATTAAAAATATTAATAGTCAATATCACTATTTTGATAGTCAACATTAACTTTTGGACGGTACGGGCCAATATTACTGTAATTTTAAATTTTCAAGACAAAATGTACCTAAAAAAACTCTTCGGTGACCCATGCTCTTAAGTAACACTTTAACCCTATTTTAATTTCCACGTCATTTTTCTGCTACTCTTGCTTTGTTCAATCCCTAAATAGAGTCTTTGCTATTTTAGTTTGTTGTCATTATCATGTTTCCATCATAATTTTTAATTTATTGGATTACATGCATTCTGTATACAATCTATCAACTTTGTTCCTTGTAGGCCCCTTTCTACTGACTTATTGTATGGATAAGGCATGCAGATTAAAATATTGTTACAATACCATCAACGAATTAGTCCTCGTTACTCTTTCAATAGAATATTGCTAACAAAGTTTGTTTCTTTCATCACAATCATCCTCCTTTAAGCTTCATTTAATTTACTTTCTCAACATTTCTGGAATTCCTGGCAAAGTCACCAGAGGGGGTTAACCCCATATGGTTGCATGAATCATATATTCGGAACATAGAATCCTTGTGCAAAAGAATGGAAAAGCCAATAAAATTTTTCCAAAATGCTAATTTTGTGTAGCAGTATATGGGAATGCTCAATCCGGCCCTATGCTATTCCACAGTTTCCTTTTCTTTTTGTATATTTAATTAGTCAATTAAGACTGTGTCCAAATTATTTGTTTAATAAAAGTAAGGGTCAATCTAGTCTAGTTTGTTCATGTGCATGATGCAAAGAATGTGACCTATATTATCTATCCGAATTGGCATTTTGATTAAAATTCAGAGGAAACTTCAAAATAATGTGGACTTTTTCAAAGGCCTTCGTTTTCCGAACTATCCATATCTGCATGCTAGACGAAAATGACGAAATTCTAATTCATTATACAACGCGGCTTCATCAATCTCATCTCATATTCTTTTCACGCTGCATCTCGTTCTTCTGAATTATCTCATAGTTTGATTCCAACATAAAACCACCTCTCAATTCGTCCTCCACGTTCCTCCTTTTGGTTCCTTTGTTGATCTCTGTCCATATTCCAACATCTCTTGGTGCGAATGATGATCAGTATACAAACTGTTCAAGTGGCTCTTTTATCTGCGGAAGCGTCCAAAACCTCACTTATCCATTTTGGGGGGGAGAAAGAGCAAATTATTGTGGTCTTCCTGATTTCAACCTCACCTGCGAAGCCAATATCCCAAAAATTACCGTACGGTCCCTCAAATACCGGATTCTTCATTTGGAATGGACTACACAGACTCTTGTAGTGGCTCGGGATGATTATTTTGACACTATCTGTCCAACTGATTACAAAAACAACACATTTGATCAAACAACGTTCAAGTATGTGGATGATGGGCTTAGCAATGCGACCTTTCTCTACGATTGTGGTTCTTATAGTTCTCCTCCATTTCCATCAAATCCTTTCGATAAAAAGTGCAAGGTTGCTGATAATGATACAGATATAACAGTCTACTACCTTCCCGGACCATGGTTTATAAGGGATTGCAAAAGTGTTATCATGCCGATTTATGAAGCAAACCTTGGTCGAGTTGAAGCTGCTATACAGGATGTATTACGAGATGGGTTTGCATTGCAATGGATGGTAAACACTGAGGATTGCAACACATGCTCTCAATCTGGTGGCCAGTGCGGCTATGATGGACAATTCTCCTGCTTTTGCAAAGATGGACCCCAAAAAACTTCATGTCCTGGTAAAACGTCAGGTATAGAACCATGGATATGGGACATGTCCCTGTGATAAATGTTAGTATACATGCCCTGTTATCAAGTATCAACCCTTTTGTCTGTTGATTCTTCTTCCCTTTAACACCATACAAGCCAAATAGGACGGGTCTGCTATTGCTTCGCAAGAAAATTAAAATTTTAATGATATTTTAGAGTGTCTGTGTGTAGAGAGAGAGTGACAAAGAGACAGAACACTTCAGCTTCCCGGCAATTTGCCAGAATCAAGCCCCCGTTAAGGTTTTCACATCTTCCCTTCTATATAACATTCTTTTTCTTCATTTAAATATATTTTTTTCACATTCTTTTGTGTCTCTAAAAAGTGCACATCTTTATAAGATAATTCCACACGTAAATGTTGTAGCTACGATGGTTTAACAGAATAAGAAGAATCTCTGCTGCCGCAGAACAAATGTAATGTGATATAATGTGAAATTGGTAATAATTTTCTGCTGATCAAGCAAGTAGTAATTATTTGTTCGAAATCAATGTTCTACTTGCAGGATCAATTGAGAAGCTGGGTTCGCGAGTTGCTATAGGTAATAAACATAGTAACGCTCCCGTTTTGATTGCTCCCACGACTAACATTTTAAAGATTTTGAGTTGTTATGTTTTACAAATGCAGGCATTTCAACAGGAGTTGGTGGACTTGCTCTAATCTCGATTTTGATTATTTATATATGCAAGAAGCGTTTTGGAATAGAAAATGGGAAATTATTCACAGAGAGAAGAGCATATCATGATCACAATGTTAAATCCTTCATGAGAAACTATGGCTCTTTGGCGCCAAAGAAATATGGTTATGCAGAAGTGAAAAGAATGACAAAATCATTTTCAAACAAATTGGGCGAAGGAGGGTATGGTGTTGTATACAAAGCCAGCCTACCTGATGGTCGTCCAGTGGCAGTTAAAGTAATAAGGGAATCTAAAGGAAGTGGAGAAGAATTTATAAATGAAGTTGCAAGCATCAGCAGAACCTCCCATGTCAACATAGTCACTCTCCTGGGATTTTGTCATGAAAGGAACAAAAGAGTATTAATCTATGAATACCTGTCAAACGGTTCCTTGGATAATTTCATCTATCAGAGAGGGTCTTCAAACGCTCTCTGTGCTTTGGAGTGGAAGTTATTGTACCAGGTTGCTATTGGCATTGCTCGTGGACTGGAGTACTTGCATCGGGGTTGTAACACAAGAATTTTGCATCTTGATATCAAACCCCAAAACATTCTCTTAGATGAAGAATTTTCCCCAAAAATATCCGATTTTGGATTGGCTAAATTATGTCAAAAGAAGGAGAGTATTGTGTCAATACTAGGCACAAGAGGAACAATAGGGTTCATTGCACCAGAAATATTCAGCAGAGCATTTGGCGGTGTTTCTTACAAAGCAGATGTTTATAGCTATGGCATGTTGGTCCTTGAAATGGTTGGAGGAAGGAAGAACTACGACAGTGGAGGATCACAAGCTGATGAGCAGTATTTTCCAGATTGGATTTATAAGGATCTTGAGCATGGTAAGCATCCAGCTAGTTCTTTAGTAATCACAGAGGAAGATGATGAAGTGGTAAGGAAGATGACTTTAGTGAGTCTATGGTGTGTTCAAACCAATCCATCAGATAGACCAGCTATGAGTAAAGTGGTAGAAATGTTAGAAGGACCCCTTCAATCCTTAACGATTCCTCCAAAGCCATCCCTTGAATATCCTACAAAATCATCAGCAGTTATACAATTGTCAAATGCATCTTCCGAAGACATGATTCATACAGTTTCAATAAGCAGTTGACTTGTACACTGTACCTACTGCCAAAGACAATTTAACTTCGAATTGTCTTGGAAGATTCATGGATAATTGCCAACTATTGCTTTCCTTTATGTTTGTTCATGCAAGTATGTGGGCCAATGACCCTTGAATAAACGTTGATGCGAATATTTCAAAAATTTGTGCTAAGGCATATGAAGGATGATCCGGTGGAATTCTTCAGTGTTTTGGCTCGTCCATGAAGAAGTAAAAGTCAAATCCACTCAGTTGGTTGAAAATGTTATATATTTTGACTCGTACATATCATAATGTGATAGATAACGCGTATTGATTAATTTTTTTTTTTTACATAAAAGACAAAAATGATATTTAAACTATTATGATACAGAGATAGTGAGAGACCCAAGAGCTGAAATTAGAAAACCTATTAGCAGTAGTACGTTGTACTCCAGTTCAGAACCTCTCCTCTCCTCTTCTCTTCCCATCCTCTTCCTTTTTTTTTTTTTAACTATTAGATTAATATTTTAACAGTTCAGATTTAAATCTTTTTAAAACTATTATTAAAATATTAAATTATAAAAATGAATAAATTATAAATTATAAACTATATTAAAATTTAATTTTAATGATTTGCAAGTACACTAAATGTTTTTAAAATTAAAATCTAAATTATTAAAATATGTTAATCTAACAGTTGAAAAAATGTTGAAAAAAAGAAAAAAAAAGGAAGAGGATGGCAAGAGAAAAGGAGAGGTTTCGAACCGGTTGTACTCACTCTAATAATAAGGTCCAGAGTTTCTTCTCTCTCATTACTGTAGTTTCTGGCGGGGTGGAATTCTTTCTTGCTAGGTGACTTAAATTAGCCAATCACAAGCTGAATCATTCCAATTTTCCAACTCATGAGAATTAATTCCATCTTCACTATCTGTTTAGGTCAACTGTGCAATTGAATCCAAACCTCCGCCTTCCATCCTCTGTTTCTTTCTCGAGATGCAACTTCATTTCAGCCTCTGCGTTTTGTTTTTTATCATTTCGACTACCCTGTATCAAATTCCAATTTGCTTCTGTGCTGATTAGGGGCATCCTGCATTTCATCATTTGATTGTGCAAATCTCAAAAACCTTGACTATCCTTTCTGGGGATCGGAAAGACCAGACTATTGTGGCCACCCAAAATTTGAACTAGATTGCGATGGTGAATATGCAGAAATCACCATCAAGTCTGAGAGCTATTGAGTTCTTGAAGTCAACGCCTCAGCCTCAGGGAACTTCAGGTACGTAACATGATGCCAACTGCGTTTTTTTTTTTCCCTTTTGTTTTTGGGTAACTTAGGAATCTTTCCCTTTTCCCATATGTTATATTTGATTTTTTTTTATATTAAATCCGTGAATAATTGCAAATAAATCTTTCATTTCTGATATGTTATTTTCTATAAGTAGTATTATCTTTTCTTTTTTTAATAACAATGCAAAATGTTATAACGAAAGTAAAATGAGAGTTCTAAGTAGAAAAAAAAACAAGACAGGAACATAAATGAGTAAGCCAAAAATAGAGGAAATTGCTTAAAGTTCAGTTTTGTTTCTCACATGGTTGATACTAACTAGTTGCTGGTCTTTCTATTTTCCCTTTCTTTTGAATTGCGGACTCAGTTCTAGTATCTTTTAATGAGTCAAAGCGCAAATATATTCTAAAATTTTCATTCGGTGCTCAGAAACTTTTTTGGACACAAATTTGTTCGAAACATTTAAAATCATAATAATATTATCCTTTACTATTAAAAATATTAATGTTCAATATTATTATTTTAATAGTCAATATTAGCTTTTTTTTAATGATATGGGTCAATATTATTATAACTTTAAATTTTCTGGACAAATTGTATCCAAAAACACTTTTGGGTGCCTAACTCTCTTAAGTAACACTTTAGTCCTATTTTAATTTCCACGTCATTTTTCTGCTACTCTTGCTTTGTTCAATCCCTAAACAGAGTCTCTGACTATTTTAGTTTGTTGTCATTATCATGTTTCCATCATAATTTTTAATTTATTGTATTACATGCATTCTATGTACAATCTATCAACTTTGTTCCCCCCCGGGGGCCAATTTTGTTCCCCCCTTTTTACTCACTTGTTGTCTGGATAAAGCATATGGATTAAAAAATTGTTACAATGCTATCAACGAATTAGTCCTCGTTACTACCTTCAATAGAATATTGCTCACAAAGTTTGTTTCTTTCAGCACAATCATCCTTCTTTAAGGGCCTGTTTGGGTATCCCAAAACCATGGTTTCAGAAGCACTTTTCCGCAAAACGAGATAATCTCCTCCACATATTTACTTCGTAATCCGTAAAAGCACTTCTGAAACCATGATTTGGTTTCTATCCAAACACACCCTAAGCTTCATTTAATTTACTTTCTCAACATTTCTGGAATTCCTGGCAAGGTCATCAGAGGGGTTTATCCCCACATGGTTGCATTAATCATATATTCGGAACATAGAATCCTTGTGCAAAAGGATGGAAAAGCCACAGTAAATGTAACTCTATAAAATAAAATTTTTCCAAAATACTAATTTTGTAGTAGATGGGAATGCTCAATCCCGCCCTATGCTATTCCACAGTTTCCTTTTCTTTTTGTATATTTAATTCGCTAATTAAGACTGTCCAAATTATTTGTTTAATTTGTCTATGTGCATGACGCAAAGTGTGTGGCTTATATTATCTATCCGAATTGGCATTTTGATTAAAATTCAGAGGAAACTTCAAAATCTAAACTTTTCCAAAGGCATTCATTTCCCACATTGCAAATTCATCAGTTTGACCATCTCATCTATGATTCTCTCTCATTGTTTCTTTCCCACATGAAAACTCCCCTGAACCCATACTCCATGTTTTCTCTTTTGGTTCCTTTGTTGATCTCTGCCAATATTCTAACATCTTTTGGTGCGGATGATGATTTGTATACAGACTGTTCAAGTAGCTCTTTTAGCTGCGGAAGCATACAAAATCTTACTTATCCATTTTGGGGAGGAGAAAGAGCAAATTATTGTGGTCTTCCTGATTTCAACCTCACTTGCGAAGCCAGTATCACAAAAATTACCATACGGTCCCTCAGATACCGGATTCGTCATTTGGAATGGACTGCACAGACTCTTGTAGTGGCCAGGGATGATTATTTTGACGCTACCTGTCAAACTGATTACAAAAACAACACATTTGATCAAACACCGTTCAAGTATGTAGATGATGGGCTTACTAATGTGACCTTCGTCTGCGATTGTTCTAGTTCTCCTCCATTTCTGTCAAATAGTCAAGATACAAACTGCAAGGGAGCCGACGATGATACAAATATAACAGTCCCTTCCCGGACCATGGTATCTAAGCGATTGCAAAAGTGCTATACAGGATGTCTTACGAGATGGGTTTGGGTTGCACTGGATGGTAAATACTGAGGATTGCAACACATGCTCTCAATCTGGTGGCCAGTGCGGCTATGATGGACAATTCTCCTGCTTATGCAAAGATGGACCCCAAAAAACTTCATGTCCTGATAAAACATCAGGTATCTATCTTATTATTTTTTCAGAATCTCGTGTTTATTTGTAGCCTAGAACCATGGACATGGGACATAACCCTATCATAAATGTGTCATGGCACTAATTGAAGTCTCATTTTATGTCTGATACAAAACAGAACTTATTTCCTTAATGGATCATCATTCATGCCAATTACCAAAGAACGGCCTTGGAAGAGAGTGATTAGCACCTTTTAAAGAACATGAATGGTGTAGCAGATCTTTTAGGGTCTGTTTGGTTTGAGGGGAGGGAAGGGGAGGGAGGGGAGGGAGGGGTAGGGGAGGAGAGGGGAGGTTTTATCCTCACTTTGTCTGGTTTGATTAAAAAGGAGGGGAGGGGAGGGTATTTAATGATCCCTTGTTTGGTTCAAGGAGGGGAGGGAAGGGATAGTAATAATCAATTTACCATTTTACCCTTACATATTAGTTTATGTTTTTTATTGATATATTATATAAATTAATTTATATCTTAATTTAAATTATATAATTTAATAAAAATTCAGTTTTATCACATTAATATGTGTATTAAAAAATTGGTATAGTAATTTTTTATTCTAATTAATATAATAATATATTTAAAATAATCAAATTAACAAATTTTATATGCTCTAAGAAAAATGAAATTTTATTTTCTTTAGGCTATCTTTTTTTCCAGATTTAAAATATATTTAATAAATAATATATTTATAAAAAACAATTAATTTTATATATTATAATTCTTTATTTAAATAATTTTTTATTTTTAAATAATTTTTATAATATATTTTTAATTATAATAATGTATATATTTTTTATTTTTTTACTTAGGATAATATATTTTTTATTGAAATAAATATTATAATAATATATTTATGGGTAGGAGTGGAATATTAAAAAAACCATAAGGGCATAATGGTCCAAAATTTTGGCTCCCCTCCAAAAACCTCCAATTTGGAGGGGAGCCAAAACGGGGGAGGAGAGGGGAGGGGAGGGGACATTTTAGCTCCCCTCCCCTCCAAAATTTTTAACCAAATGAGGGGAGGGGCTCCCCTCCCCTCCCCTCCAACCAAACACACCCTTAGTGCGGATTGCCTGGCTTGTCATGGGATTTACTCTTATCAAGTATTAACCCGTTGATTCTTCTTCCCTTTAACAACATAGCAGTCAAATAGGAAGGGTCTGCAATTGCTTTGCAAGAGACGTAAAATTTTGATGATGTTTGACTTTTAGGACACACACTCACACACACACACAGAGACAGACACAGAGACAGCTTCCTGGCAATTTTGCAGAATCAAGGCCCCTTTAAGTTTTCCAACTTCATCATAATTAGGCAGAAATTAGAACACACGGAAACGCCCCGCGTTCCACTTTTTGGAATCGTGCGAAGCAAAACCTCCTTTCTGTTCATTAAGCTATCACATCGGTGTGAGAATCCGAATGCGATTTCAGTCCACGTCAGATTACCTAAAGAAGTATTCTGGTGTTATGGAGAACTAAGTTTTTTTTCCTAAAAGATTTAAATGTCTCTTTCCAACACCGTCTAGAGACGTTTTAAATTTATAGTTGGAATCATTCCTCGAAAATTCAAGCTCAGGTGAATCATTCGGAAATCAGATTTGTAAAGTTTATTTCCCAAAAAAAAAACCAATAAACGCGTCTCACTCTGACTTTTGATGTGCATGTGCTCATTCATAACAAGCAAGAAAGTGGCTTAGAGTGGTTAAAGAATATTTTGGCATAAGTAGGCTCGACTTTTTGACTGGACTCTTTGACCATGTCCAGTGATCCATGTTAAAAACGTTCTTTATCAGAGTTATGTTATATTCATTCCCTACTGAAAGCCCCAGGAAACTTCTTAGCCAGGTGACCTAAATTTGCATTAGCTGGGGATCAGTACCTTTCAATAGTCCCTACGAAAATCTTTGCCAATCACAAGCTGAATCCTTCAAATATTCCAATTCATGTGAATTAATTCTATTTTCACCATCTGTTTAGATATTCTGTGCAATAGCCAAACCTCTATGTCTTCCAACTTCTGTTTCTTTCTCCAGGATGCAACTTCGTTTCAGCGTCTCCGTTTCCTTTTTAATCATTTCGATTACCCTATATCGAATTCCAATTTGCTTCTGTGCTGAGTATGAGGCATCCTGCAGTTCTTCATTTGATTGTGCAAATCTCAAACACTTGGGCTATCCTTTCTGGGGATCGGAAAGACCAGACTATTGTGGCCACCCAAAATTTGAACTAGATTGCGATGGTGAATATGCAGAAATCACCGTCAAGTCCGAGAGCTATCGAGTTCTTGAAGTCAATTATTCTGATTATAGTCTTAGAGTTGTGAGAACTGACTTCTGGGATGATGTTTGTCTAACCTATTTTAGGAACAATTCCATAGATCTCCCTTTCTTTAATTATAGTTTGGACTCTCGTAACCTGACACTGTACTACGATTGTCTTTCCTCTCCATTCTCAGACCCATATATCACCCCCACTCAGTTTAATTGCAGTAAAAATAGTACCAAAATAGTTGACTATTTCCTTCTGGCGGGCGGAGGTTATGGGACCTCTGAAATCGAACAAACGGGGGCCTGCAGATCTACTGTAATTGTTCCAATTTTGGGGTCACAAGCCAGAATTTTAGATGAAGATTCAAGTGTGGAAAATATGAAGACTGCTATTCATAAAGGCTTTAAATTTGCATGGGAGGCAAATAATACTCTGTGCTCTGCTTGTCGAAACTCTGGTGGGCAATGCGGTTATAACATAAGCTCAAGTGAATTCACTTGCTATTGCAAAGACGGACCTGTTCCATCTGAATGTAAATCAAGTAAGTACCAGTGTTCTAGTAATTCATACCAATATATGCAGGGCACAGATACACAATAAAGAACTGCGACACGACAAAACATGTAATGTCGTGTAATTTGAAGAGTTGTCTCCGGACAGGTCTGTTTTTGACGTTCTGGTACTTCATAGATTGAAGTTTAAGAAATTAATGACTTCTGTGAACGTAGATTGATGAACATGCCTTGAGTTTCAATAGGTTATTTCAGATAATACTGGCTTATTCATATCCTCGTCAGTTATTGTTTTTAGACAGTTACAGACTTTGCCCACATGTCCCCTGCACTTTCTGCAGACAGGACCTTGATAGCCTTTAGCCAGGAAGCCATGCCAAAGGGAAAACATAGTTTAGTTTATTTATATCTCCATACATAGTTGATTCGTATTCCTCAAGAACGCTTCCTGACTTCTGCAACAACCGTCTCATTGTGGTTCATCTCCAGGAAGCTAGGAAAGCCGCTTTGGTTTTTCTCTTCGGTTTACGTGGACACTGGCACAAATGAGACATGTTTATGCCAAATTACAATGAAACTCAACCTCCATGTTTCTCCTTGATTGGCTTAATTCACTTAATTTTCGCACACTCCAACTTCATCTTAGAAAATATAAGAAGTCCTGTCTAGAGTATTTGCTGGCGGTAGGTAGACATTATTAGGTAAGTGCCAGGCTATCATGGGCTGCTGACATCAGTTTTAAAATAGAGGCAACCAACTTTGACCCCAAGTCAACTTACATAATTACATTTAGGTCATATTTCCTCGTGATTAAACAATTGTCATTTTTCATGTGAGGATGTTCATTCTCAGGTCATCTCCGTCTAATTCCCACTTCTCTCACTCTTTAGGATTTGAAAAACCTTCCAATTCCGATCCCGTGCATATAATTCATACCAATCTACAAAGCGTATCGTAATAAGATGTAATCTCATTTAGTGCGAAGGATATTTCACTCGCTTTCATTGTGTTGGCACTTGGCATATACACCTTAAATTAATTGATCTTTTTGAAAACATACTAAAAAAATAGCTCTAAAATTTCAAAATCCCAAATCATGAATGACTATAAAAATGTATTGTTATTTGTTATTAAAATGAAGTAAACAAGATTGAGTTAAAATTTTGAGATTCAAAGATATTTTGTTTGGATTTTTCCTCACCTTCTTGTTTCAGAGTTCTCAAATTATAATTATACTCAGTTGTAACCTCTCTTTATGTTTTTTTTTTTTATTCTAAACAACCTAATGACTCCATTTTTTATTTGGAATTATTATATAACTACCTCTAGATTCCGATCCTTAATATAAAAGCTGATTGTAGATTTAATTTGGTCTTAAATATAGTGATCGCACATGTTAAGAGATTTTCATTAAATGGTAATTTTATAATGCACATGATTAATAAGGATATTTTATATAAAAAAAACACTCATTTGTTAGAAATAACTAACTTTCTTAACATTCAAAAATTAATTATCTAGCTTTTATATTAAGGAGCAAGGTAGTACTTTCTTGATTTCCAAAGATATCATGATAGACTCTTCTTAGCCCTATGGGTCTACATATAAATGATTATGTCTGTCACTTGTAAATTCCAAAATCATTGTGTCAATTTGAGGCTGAACACAGTTCTAATTGCAGGATCAACTAAGCTGGGTTGGCGACTTGCTATAGGTAATAAAGAGAGCAACTTTGATTTTGATAGCTTCCACAATTAGTATTTCAAAGATTTTAAGAAGTTATGTTTTACAAATGCAGCGATTTCAGCAGGAGTAGGTGGACTTGCTCTAATCTCGATTTTGATTATTTATATATTCAAAGCGAGAAGAGCAAATCATGATCACGATCTTCAATCCTTCATGAGAAACTGGGGCTCTTTGGCACCAAAGAAATACAGTTATTCAGAAGTGAAAAGAATGACAAAATCATTTTCAAACAAATTGGGCGAAGGAGGGTATGGCGTTGTATACAAAGCAAGCCTACCTGATGGTCGTCCTGTCGCAGTTAAAGTAATAAGGGAATCTAAAGGAAGTGGAGGAGAATTTATAAATGAAGTTGCAAGTATCAGCAGAACCTCCCATATCAACATAGTCACTCTCCTGGGATTTTGTTATGAAAGGAACAAAAGAGTATTAATCTATGAATACTTGTCAAACGGTTCCTTGGATAATTTCATCTATCAAAGAGGGTCTTCAAATGCTCTCTGCTCTTTGGAGTGGAAGGTATTGTACCAAGTTGCTATTGGCATTGCTCGTGGACTGGAGTACTTGCATCGGGGTTGTAACACAAGAATTTTGCATCTTGATATCAAACCCCAAAACATTCTCTTGGATGAAGAATTTTCCCCAAAAATATCCGATTTTGGATTGGCTAAATTATGTCAAAAGAAGGAGAGTATTGTGTCAATACTAGGCACAAGAGGAACAATAGGGTTCATTGCACCAGAAATATTCATTAGAGCATTTGGCGGTGTTTCTTACAAAGCAGATGTTTATAGCTATGGCATGTTGGTCCTTGAAATGGTTGGAGGAAGGAAGAACTACGACAGTGGAGGATCACAAGCTGATGAGCAGTATTTTCCAGATTGGATTTATAAGGATCTTGAGCATGGTAAGCATCCAGCTAGTTCTTTAGTAATCACAGAGGAAGATGATGAGGTGGTAAAGAAGATGACTTTAGTGAGTCTATGGTGTGTTCAGACAAATCCATCAGATAGACCAGTTATGAGTAAAGTGGTAGAAATGTTAGAAGGACCCCTTCAATCCTTAACGGTTCCTCCAAAGCCATCCCTTGAATATCCTACAAAATCATCAGCAGTTATACAATTGTCAAATGCATCTTCTGAAGACATGATTCATACAGTTTCAATAAGCAGTTGACTTGTCTACTCTACCTACTGCCAAAGACAATTTAACTTTGAATTGTCTTGGAAGATTCATGGATAATTGCCAACTATTGCTTTCCTTTATCTTTGTTCATGCAAGTATGTGGGTCAATGACCCTTGAATAAACGTTGATGCGAATATTTCAAAATTTTACGCTAAGGCATTTGAAGGATGATCTGGTGGAATTCTTCGGTGTTTTTGCTCGTCCGTGAAGAAGTAAAAGTCAAATCCACTCAGCTGGTTGAAAATGTTATATATTTTCACTCGTGCATATCATAATGTGAAAGATAACACGTATTGACTTTTTTTTTTTTTTACATAAAAGACAAAATGATTTTTAAACTATTATAATAGAAAGATAGTGGGAGATCAAGGCTGAAATTAGAAAAACCTATTGGCAATGCGTACGTTGTACTCCAGTTCAGAACCTCTCCTCTTCCCTTCCTATCCTCTTGCTTTTTTTTTCTTTTTTAACTGTTAGATTAATATTTTAACGGTTCAGATTTAAATTTTTTTAAAACTATTATTAAAATATTAAATTATAAAAATAAATAAATTATAAATTATAAACTATATTAAAATTTAATTTTAATGATTTGCAAGTACACTAAATGTTTCTTAAATTTCTTTTATAAATAGTTTATAAAAAATTAAAATCTAAACTATTAAAATATATTAATTTAACAGTTGAAAAAAAAGAAGAGAAGAAGAGAAGGGAAGAGAATGGGAAGTGAAGAGGAGAAGTTCCGAACTGGTTGTACTCACTCCTTCTAATAATAAGGTCCAGAATTTCTCCTCTCTTATTACTGTAGTTTCTGGCAGGGGGAAATTCTTACTTGCTAGGTGACTTAAATTGGCCAATCACAAGCTGAATCCTTCCAATTTTCCAACTCATGAGAATTAATTCCATCTTCACTATCTGTTAGGTCTACTGTGCAATTGAAGCCAAACCTCTGCCTTCCATCCTCTGTTTCTTTCTCGGGATGCAACTTCATTTCAGGCTCTGCGTTTTGCTTTTTATCATTTCGACTACCCTGTATCAAATTCCAATTTGCTTCTGTGCTGATTATGGGGCATCCTGCATTTCATCATTTGATTGTGCAAATCTCAAACACATTGGCTATCCTTTCTGGGGATTCGGAAAGACCAGACTATTGTGGCCACCCAAAATTTGAACTAGATTGCGATGGTGAATATGCAGAAATCACCATCAAGTCTGAGAGCTATCGAGTTCTTGAAGTCAACGCCTCAGCTTCAGGGAACTGCAGGTACGTAACATGATGCCAACTGCGTTTTTTTTTTTTTTGGTAAACTGATGAATCTTCCCTTTTCTTATCTTTTATATTTGATTTTTTTAATTAAATCCTTGAATAATTGCAAATAAATCTTTCATTTCTGATGTGTTATTTTCTATAAGTAGTACTATCTTTTCTTTTTTAATAACAAGGCAAAATTTTATAACGAAAGTAAAATAAGAGTTCTAAGTAGAAAAAAAAAACAAGACAGGAAGTCAGGAACATAAATGAGTAAGCCAAAAAAAGAGGAATTGCTTAAAGTTCAGTTTTGTTTCTCACATGGTTTATACTAATTAGCTGCTGGGTCTTTCTATTTTCGCTTTCTTTTGAATTGTGGACTCAGTTTTCAGTGAAAAGAAAAAAAAAAAAAGAATTGTGGACTCAGTTTTAGTATATTTTAATGAGTTTAAGGTGCAACTATATCTCAAAAATTTTCACTCAGAGTGTTGGGTGCTTGAAAGCTTGTGGCGCAAATCTGTCCGGAAAGTTTAAAATCATACCAATATTGTCCTTATCATTAAAATATTAATGATCAATATCACTATTTTAAATATCAGCGTTAATCTTATAATTGTATGCGTAATATTATTATGATTTTAAATTTTTAAGGCAAATTGCACTAAAAAAAATCTTCTAGGTGCATAATGCTGTTAAGTAACACCTTAATCCTATTTTAATTTCCACATCATTTTTCTGCTACTCTTGCTTGTTCAATCCCTAAACAGAATCACTGACTTTGTTCAATCCCCAAACGGAGTCTCTGACTCTTTTACCTTGTTGTCATCATCATGTTTGCATCATAATTTTTAATTATTGTATTACATGCATTCTATATAGAATCTATAAACTTTGTTCCTTGTAGGCCCCTTTTCAGTGACTTATTGTCTGGATAAGGCATATGGATTAAAAAATTGTTACAATGCTATCAACGAATTAGTCCTCGTTGCTACTTTAATAGAATATCACTAACAAAGTGTGGTTCTTTCATCACATCATCCTTCTTTTAGTTTATTTTATTTAATTTACTTTCTCAACATTTCTGGAATTCCTGGCAAAGTCACCAGACGGGGTTATTCCCCATATCACTGCATGAATCATACTATTTCTAGTCTTTAATATAAGACCTTGTTTTTTTGGCCAAAATAATATAAGACCTTGTTTGATTTTATTTTGGTTCTAATATAAGACTCTAATTCACTTTGTCTTTCATATTTATATATTTTTTTCCAAGGTAGTTCTTCTAACAATGGTAATTCTAACTAATATAATTGATTAACAAAATATTTTAGAAAAGACAGTACATATTTATTATAAATAACTAACTTAACTTTTTTTAATCTCCAATTAGTCAATTAGCTCTTATAATTAGGAGCGGAGGTAGTATATTCGGAAAATATAATCCTTGTGCAAAAGAATGGAAAAGCCACAGTAAATGTAAATCTTTAAAATAAAATTTTCCAAAATGCTAATTTTGTATAGCAGGTGGGAATGCTCAATCCCCCCTATGCTATTCCACAGTTTCCTTTTCTTTTTGTGTATTTAATCAGTCGATTAAGACTGTGTCCGAATTATTTGTTTAATAAAAGTAAAGGTCAATCTAGTTTTATTTGTTTATGTTGCATGATGCAAAGAATGTGACTTATATTATCTATCCGAATTGGCATTTGATGAGGAAACTTCAAATCTAAACTTTTCCAAAGGCATTCATTTCCCACATTGCAAATTCATCAGTTTGACCATCTCATCTATCTTCCTGATTCTCTCTCATTGTTTTTTCACACATGAAAACTCCCCTCAACCCATACTCCATGTTCTTTCTATTGGTTCTTTTGTTGATCTCTGCCAATACTCCAGCATCTCTGGGTGCGGATGATATTTGTATACAAACTGTCAAGTAGCTCTTTTTAGCTGCTGAAGCATACAAAACCTTACTTATCCCTCTTGGGAGGAGAAAGAGCAAATTATTGTGGTCTTTCCTGATTTCAACCTCACTTGCGAAGCCAGTATCACAAATTACCATACGTCCCTCAAATACCGGATTCCTCATTTGGAATGGACTACAGAGACTCTTGTAGTGGCTAGG